AATGAGGAGAGCAGGAAGGAAAAAATAGCACAAATGTCCATTTTTTAAAAAAAAAAAAAAACTACGCCAGTTACTATCATAGGGTGATAGAGAATATAGAACAGAATATAGAATAACAGAATTGGAAGAGATCTTGGAGGTCTTCTAGTCTAACCCCTTGGTGATTTCTGTGTGTGTGTGTGTGTGTGTGCACGGCATTCTTCTGGAAGCCCTTGAAATGTTCAATTCCCCCCCCTCCCTCTTTGGAATGTTGTGCCTTTGGGATAATGCTCTTTTAATAGAACATCTCAATAGTATTATTTATATCTTTTCTTCTTCTTTTCCTGTAAAAACAATGAGGAAAGTATAGCCACTGTTGATGGACACAGGGAAAGATCCTCAAAATAAAGCAGGGCCTTGTTTTTGAAGTGAGCGTGACCTGCCCTATGTAACACAACACAACATAACACAAGAAGTTATAATGTCAACGCTGCTAACATATAAAGCAAACGCCAAGCCTTTGCTTTTTGTTCCGTTTAAATCGTTTTGCACCTGGCTGGTTACATTTATTCCATTACATTTAAACAAGGTTAGTGTTGAAATTTAGAAAACTGGCTTAGGTTTTTTTTTTTTGCCTTCTGCTCATTTCTTCAGGAGAAATAGAGGAAGAAAACTTAAGAAATGAGCCAGTGAACTTCAATTATTTTGTCGGCCTGCGAGAAACATCCTGATCTGGCTGGGTTCTCTCCACATCCCTAGCTAGTTGAAAACGGTGTAGGGACACATTTCTGGAAGTTTTTAAGAAGAGACTGGACAGCCGTTTGTCTGAAACGCTATAAGGTTTCCTGCTTAAGTAGGGGGTTGGACTAGAAGATCTCCAAGGTCCCTTCCAACTCTGTTAATTCTGTGACAAAATGTTGACCTCCAACAGAAGTTACCAATCTGTTTTATTCTGTTCTTCTTTATTCGGTGTGTTGTGTGAATCCAGCCATTATAACCTGGCTATTTTCCTTAAGCTACCATAGGTTTTGTTTTGATTGTATGTGAATGCAGGCATTATGTCTTGATTAAGGGTAGGGTTTAAGACGTTTTTTCAACCTTGGCAGCTTTAAGATGGGTGGACTTCAACTCCCAGAATTCCCCAGCCAGCATGATTTAACATGGATGTATTTAACTCCCAGAATTCTCTCGTCAGCATGACTGACTGTTTACCTGTCTTAAAGCATGCTGGCCGGGGAATTCTGGGAGTTGAAATCCATATATGTTAAAAGATGCTAGCTGGGGAATTCTGGGAGTTGATGTCCATACATCTTAAAGCATGATGGCTGGGGAATTCTAGGAGTTGAAGTCCACCTGTGTTAAAGCATGCTGGCTGGGGAATTCTGGGAGTTGACATCCATACATCTTAAAACTGCCAGGATTAAGAAACACTGATTTAGAGTGTGTTTTTTTAATCTGATTTTTGACTTTCTGGGCAAATAATAATAATAATAATAATAATAATAATAATAATAATAATAATAATAATAATAATAATAATAATAATAATAATAATAAAGTTGGAAGGGACCTTGGAGTCATCTAGTCCAACCCCCTGCTCAGGCAGGAAACCCTACACCATTTCGGACAAATGGCTGTCCAGTCTCTTCTTAAAAACTTCCAGTGTTGGCGCATTCACTGCTTCTGGAGGCAGGTTGTTCCACTGGTTAATTGTTCTCACTGTCAGGAAGTTTCTCCTTAGTTCTAGGTTGCTTCTCTCCTTGATGAGTTTCCATCCGTTGCTTCTTGTCCTGCCTTCAGGCGCTTTGGAGAATAGCTTGACTCCCTCTTCTTTGGGGCAGCCCCTGAGATATTGGAAGACTGCTCTCATGTCCCCCCTCGTCCTTCTCTTCGTTAAACTAGACATACCCAATTCCAGCAACCGTTCCTTATATGTTTTAGCCTCGAGTCCCCTGATCATCTTTGTTGCTTTTCTCTGTACTCTTTCTAGAGTCTCAGCATCTTTTTTACATTGTGATGACCAAAACTGGATGCAGTATTCCTTTATTCCATAGTGTCCCTTTCTTGTACCACGGAGTTCCAATAAAATTGGTTTTCCGCCAACTTTAATTGACGGCCGGCTCTTTGGGGTGAAATGATTGGCCATTTATAAATCAGTGTTTTTCCCACCCAGTGTGTCAAATGGGGACATCGCTTTTCCTTTGATGTCACTCTGGACAAAGGGATGATTGTGTGACAGGGAGGGCATTTCGAGCTAGGATTGTTCCCCCCCCCTTTTTTTTTTGCATCAAAACTTGGACCCATGTTTTACATTTGCTTTTTGCCTCTGTTTATTCCGTATCCCGCTTAGTTACTTTGATTTGCTGGCTGGTAAATGTCAGATTTTGATTTGATTTTTGATTTTGATTTTATTAAATTTATACCCCGCCCTTCTCCCGGAGGAGCCCTGATTGGTCTTCATCAAGGCCAGGGAAATTGTTGGGTGCCAGAAGAACAAGTTCTGGTTTTCTCCTTTATGATTGTTGATATTTTTAATGCTTTTAAAGCAGTAACAGCGAAAGAAAAACAACAGGCACAAAACACAAACATAAATTATAATGCAGATGCATGATTTCTCAAATATATATATATATATATTTGCTGAGCAACCTGGAGAGAATATGTCGAGATCCCTGAGCAATATTTCTCAGTAACTTTATGTTTGGACTTCAATTCCCAGAATTCCCCAGCCTGTGTGAAAAACACTGCCATTGAGACCTGATGGAATCCTCTTTTATTCCTTCAGTGTTGGAAGATTTGCAACTGAGACTAGATGATAATTGTCTGTATTATAGTCTTTGACATCCCTCTGGTGGCTTAGCTGAGCTTTGCAACCATGGAAGATAATTTATAATTTATTTGCAAGACAGTAGTGATCTGGTTCAAAGCAAAAAAATTTTTTAAAGAGTTAAATTAAACCTTGGAGATTTAAACTTATTGTGTGCCAGCTCCAAGTAATTGGCACGCTATTTCCCTGCTGATTTTTCTTTTATTCCCCCTCTGCTTGTGACATGTTTAAGCAACATTAATCTTGTTGTTGTTAATTGCAAAGTCCTGTCCGACCCATTGCGACCCCATGGACAACATTCCTCCAGGCCTTCCTGTCCTCTACCATCTTCTGGAGTCCCTTTAAGCTCACGCCTCCTGCTTCAGGGACTCCATCCAGCCCCCTCATTCTCTGTCGTCCTTTTCTTCTCTTGCCCTCCATCTTTCCCAGCATTAGGCCCTTCTCCAGGGAGTCCTTCCTTCTCATTAGGTGGCCAAAGTATTTGAGTTTCAACTTCAGGATCTGGCCTTCTAAAGAGCAGTCGGGGTTGATCTCCTCTAGGACTGACCGGTTTGATCGCCTTGCAGTCCAGGGGACTCGCAGGAGTCTTCTCCAGCACCAGAGTTCAAAGGCCTCAATTCTTTGTCGCTCAGCCTTTCAACGTTAATCTTATATATAAGTAAATTTCTAGCAAAGTTGTTGGGCAACTTTGCGCAATAGTTGACTTGGTGCAGAAGGAAACAGAATTGGGAAGTGGTTGAAAGAACGGGTAATTTGTGTTGCAAGTCAGGTTTATGGCAGCAAAATGCAAGGACGCCTCTTTAGCTGAACAGCCTGGTTGAGTTTTGTGCCCGCGCAGAAGGAGGACCGGTGTATGTTGTCTCCAAAATAATCTTGACCGCACCTGGGCATTAAAATGCCCATTTAAAAAGATGAGGAGGGAGGGATCAAGCGAGGAGCTAGCCTTGAGTCATTGCGCAGCTCAAGAGACCAGGACTCGTCCGCCTTTCTAGGTTTCTTAGTATGTTGACTATTAGCATGCAAGTAGTCCTCAACCTACGACCACAATTGAGCCCAAAATGTCTGTTGCTAAGTGAGACCGTTGTTAAGTGAGTTTTGCCCCATTTTAGGGCCTTTCTGGCCATGGCTATTAAGTGAATCACGCAGTTGTGTTAGTAACACAGTTAAGTGAATCTGGCTTCCCCGTTGACTATCTAATCTATTTAATCTATCTATCTAATCTAATCTATCTAATCTCTCTCTCTCTCTCTCTATCTATCTATCTCTATTTATATCTATCCATCCATCCATCCACCTATCTGTAATCTATCTGTCCATCCATCTTCTATCATATCTATCTGTCTATCTATCTATCTATCTATCTATCTATCTATCTATCTATCTATCTATCTATCTATCTATCTACCTACCTACCTACCTACCTACCTACCTACCTACTTACCTACCTACCTACCTACCTACCTCTATTTATATTTATATCTATCATCCATCCATCCACCTATCTATAATCTATCTGTCCATCCATCTTCTATCGTATCTGTCTATCTGCTCTATCTATCTGCTCTCTCTCTCTCTCTCTCTCGCTCTCTCTCTCGCTCTCTCTCTCTCTCTCTCTCTCTCATCAATCTAATCAATCTAATCTAATCTATCTAATCTATCTCTCTATCTATCTATCTAATCTCTCTCTCTCTCTCTGTATCTATCTATCTATCTATCTATCTATCTATCTATCTATCTATCTATCTATCTATCTATCTATCTATCTATCTATCTATCTATCAAAAAGTATATGAGGAGACATATACTGGACATTTGACCCCAATTCCTACTCCAAAGCCTTTGTTATAACTGCTAGGCTCTGCTGCCATGATCAGGATGACAGTGCTCCCTCAGGAAGCTCCTATTAGCTGCAGTGGATGTTCTCCTTTGTGTTCACACGCCCACCCCTGCCCCGTCTTCCCCTCCCTCCCTCTGGGTAAGCCTGTAAGAGTTGGACAGGAAATTCTAGCCTGCTGGCTGGTCTTCGTGTCTGCTCTGTGTGTGTGTGTGTGTGTACGTGTGGGTGGGCGGACTGGTGCCTGCCAGAGACAGTTAGTCGAAACTGGATAAGAATTCCCGAATGGGGCTGTTCTCCCCAGTGCTTATCCATTTATAGTTTGATGCTTGGCGCTCCCCGGAAGCACAGTGGCTTCCGATGGACTCCCTCATTCTGCAAGAGCAGTTGGTGGAAAAGCTGCTGTTACCCCGCACTCAAGCTCAGCGCAGTCCTTCTGCCAAGCTGAAGGTACCAGGATGTCTGTAGAACAAGGACCGATCTGCAGAGGGATGGGTGGGTGGGAAGAGGGAGAGGAAGGGGCTTACAGAGGAGGGGAGCCCAGGAGAAGCATCATCTTCCCACCCAAGACGCTTCTGCAGCGCAAGGGAAGAAAATGTTCAGGACAAAAACGAAGGGTCCATGATGCTCTCCGAGCTTGGTGGCTTTCTTGCAGACGTTTCATTAGCCAACTAGGTAACGTCATCAGTGCTAGAAGGGAGTGGGGTTTGTGGACAGGAGAAGGAGAGAACGACAACTGTGGGGTCCTTGGTGCTCTCTGAGCTTGGTGGTTTTCTTGCAGACGTTTCATTAGCCAACTTGGTAACGTCATCAGTGCTAGAAGGGAGTGAAGTTTGTGGAGAGAAGGAAGTACTGTGGGGTCCTTAGTAGTCTCTGAGCTTGGTATTTTTCTTGCAGACGTTTCATTATCCAACTAGGTAACATCATCAGTGCTAAAAGGGAGTGGAATTTATGGAGAGAAGGAAGGAAGGAAGGAAGGAAGGAAGGAAGGAAGGAAGGAAGGAAGGAAGGAAGGAAGGAAGGACTGTGGGGTCCTTGGTGCTCTCTGAGCTTGGTAGTTTTCTTGCAGACGTTTCATTAGCCAACTAGGTAACATCATCAGTGCTAGAAGGGAGTGGAGTTTGTGGAATGGGCAGGAGGAGGTCAGTAGGGTCCTTAGTACTCTCTGAGGTTGGTTGTTTTCTCGCAGACATTTGATTACCCAACTAGGTAACATCAATTTGCTAGCACCGATAGACACATAGACTAGAACTGATGATACGACCTAGTTTGGGTCATGAAACATCTGCAAGAAAACCACCAAGCTCAGAGAGCACCAAGGACCCTCATTTCAACCCTGAACTATGAATATTCTCCTTTATTTGGACAAATAAATGCTGAGAGTTAGAGCTGGAGGGGCAAATCTCAAGAGATGTTTATGGGTCAAGATATTTTTGTGGTTTGCATCCATCGCTGGCTTTCTGGGACTGCTCTGATTTGACTGGGTTAGCAGAGAAGGGGAAGAACAAAAATGACACACAAGGATTTTTGAAATTGCCCTTTGAGATGACGATTTGGGAAGATCTTCCCAGCCCTCAGCCTAATGTTGTCTGAACAGAAGATGAGGTGAGCCTCAGGTTTGTGCAGGTAGATTGGCGGACATCCTACGTTGGTATGCTTATGGTCTGATGGTGACGTTTGGGGGAATCAGGGAGCTGAAGTCCATCACATCTTAAAGTTGCCGAGGTTGGGAAACACCACTCTGGATGGATGGGACTTCAGCAGCCATCATTCCTAGCTAGGGTGGCCTTTAGGTGAATTGCTTTTATTTAGTATCTCCTGTGACTATCACTGAGCGTTGTATCTTGTGTATTGTATTTTATGATTATGATTTATCACTTGTTGGTGGCATGTACACTGAGAACTTATTCACTGGAGACAAAGTCCTTGTGTGTGTCCAATCACACTTGGCCAATAAAGAATTCTATTCTACTCTACTCTACTCTACTCTACTCTACCCTACCCTACCCTACCCTACCCTACCCTACCCTACCCTACTCTGCTCTGCTCTGCTCTGCTCTGCTCTGTTCTGTTCTACTCTGTTCTGCTTCTATTCTAGTCTACTCTACTCTGTTCTACTTCTCTTCTCTTCTACTCTACTCTACTCTACTCTACTCTACTCTACTCTACTCTACTCTACTCTACTCTACTCTACTCCACTCCACTCCACTCCACTCCACTCCACTCCACTCCACTCTGTTCTACTTCTGTTCTTCTGTTCTATTCTCCTCTCCTCTCCTCTCCTCTCCTCTCCTCTCCTCTCCTCTGTTTTACTTCTGTTCTGTTCTATCCTATCCTATCCTATCTATTCCTATCCTATCCTGTAATTCTATTCTATTCTTCTTTGATGATGGGAATCGGACATACTAAGCCCCAGACTGGCGATGTCCATGCTGACATTAAAAAATATATATTAAAATCTGTTGATTTGCTGGGGAGGCCGCTGTGTACCAGCCTTGGCTTCAGAAGGCAAAATGTATCCGAAAAAGCTGATTATATTGCAATGGTATGCAAACTCTGCTCTTCCGTTGAGCAGGCTTTCCCATTAATATTTTTCTGGCTCTGCTGGAAATAATCTTGTTGCGTTTTGCTATTTTTTTTTTTTTTTTTAGAAGAAGCAAATTGGGCCATGCCATGTTTTTCTAATCACAAAAAGATTGCATTTTGGAATGAGCACTGTGACCTAGATTTGCACATGGTCCTAAGCTGCAGTGAGGCTTTTTCGATGTTGATTTGCGTTGTGTAAACCCAGCTGCGAAGATTTTGGAAGCTGGGGTCTAAGACTGAGTGTGTTGTGTGAACAAAGCTCAACTTCCTTTTGAGCAAACAGAGAAAAGGATCTTGCAAGCAGAAACTCAGATCAACTTTGGCTAGGGAAAAGAAAAATGTAATTCTTTTTTATATATTCCTGGCCTGCACCGAAGCAGTTCCAGGACAGGGGCAATTAACAAAATGAAAAACCGTTCTGGCAAATTTGTTCTTGGTTCTTCTCCAGCGGGCTAGCAGACCCTCCACTAACTTTTCGAGAAGTTTTGAAACCTCTGTAGAGCAGTTGCAGAATTACAGAATAACAGAACTAGAAGGGATCTTGGAGGAACAAAGTATATTAGATATGTTCACTGCCTTGAGTTATTGGTAAAAATAATAAAGGCGGGTGCAAATGAATAAATGAACAGAATTTAATGAAGAGAAGAACGAGGGGGGACGTGACAGCAGTGTTCCAATATCTCAGGGGCTGCCCCAAAGAAGAGGGGGTCAAGCTATTCTCCAAAGCCCCTGAGGGCAGGACAAGAAGCAATGGATGGAAATTAACCAAAGAGAGAAGCAACCTAGAACTAAGGAGAAACTTCCTGACAGTGGGAACAATTAACCAGTGGAACAACCTGCTTCCAGAAGCGGTGAATGCTCCAACACTAGAAGTCTTTAAGAAGAGATTGGACAGCCATTTGTCTGAAATGGCATAGGGTTTCCTGCCTGAGCAGGGGGTTGGACTAGATGACCTCCAAGGTCCCTTCCAACTTTGTTGTAGTAGTAGTAGTAGTAGTAGTAGTAGTAGTAGTAGTAGTAGTTGTTATTATTTATTAATTTGCGTTGTGAATGCTCCAATTTGCGTTGTGAATGCTCCAACACTAGAAGTCTTTAAGAAGAGACTGGACAGCCGTTTGTCTGAAATGGTGTAGGGTTCCTGCCTGGGCAGGGGGTTGGACTCGATGACCTCCAAGGTCCCTTCCAACTTTATTATTATTATTATTATTATTATTATTAACACTACTCTAGTGCTGCTGACCAGTAATATCTCTCCAGTTCTAGTTTCCTCTCCCTATGACATTTAATCTGAAGGGCCTGCCTTTGTCTCTTCACGCGGCTGTTATCCAATGGAGAGGCAGGATTATGATCGGCCCCTCTATTCCAGCCTCCATTCTCTATCCATAAATGGAGAACTTCTTGGCCAGTGGATTGCATCTCCTATAACGGGTCCCCAACCGGTACCGGTCCACGGCATGCCAGCAACCGGTCTGCACAAACAAGCAAAGCCCCATCCGTGGGATGCAGGCAGCACACAAAACCACACACTTTCCAGTCTGTGGAAAAACCTCTCTCCACGGAACCGGTCCCTGGTGCCCCAAAGGTTGGGGGCCTCTGTCCTATAAGACCCCATCTAACCCAACAGCTCCCGACATTCCTTGGGATTAGCCAAGAGTGGATGTGATTGTTGTGCAGAGTTTGCTTCTTTTCTCATTCTCTCCTCTTTCTCCAGTCTGATCCGTGGCTGCTTATCTCCCCTTCTCAGGACCACGAGAAGCAGTATGTGGGCTTTGCCACTTTGCCCAACCAGGTCCATCGGAAATCGGTGAAGAAGGGCTTTGATTTCACCCTCATGG